GCTACCCCACGGTGCGCACGCAGCAGTACCAGCGTCCGAACGCGTGGCGGAGCACAAACGCGTCACCGTGGCGCGCCCTTCACGAAACTCATGGGCGCGCGTTTTATGGGGACTTTTGGGACAACGACGCGGGCTCAAGATCCACTTGCTGGCCAACCGGGGCATGGACGTGGCCCCCATCGGCGCGGCCAGGGCAGGAGGACACGCCTCCTGAGTTCGCTGAGTGCAGCTGGGCAGCCTGCAGTACCCTCACAAACCCATGAAGGGAGCTCGGAGCACTTCCACCACTTCCTCTTCCTCTCCGTCCCGCGGCCACCTACGACACACGGGTTCGCAACATCGACATCGGCCCCGTGGGCTACCTCAAGATGCCGCTGAGTGGCGTCAGCACCCGCTCGGGCGACCTTGCCCGGTTCACCTTCAAGGGCCTGGACGGCACGATGACGGACCTGTTCATTCATTTGGTGGCCTAACAGCTGGTGACGCTCTCCGGCACGGGCGTTTCCGTGCTTGACTAAGGCCCGGTGTCGCTCTTCTTCATTTTTGACGTTTAGTGACACCGCTTTTGAGTGCGCCCAAAAACGAAAAAAAAGGCGGGGGTGTCCCTCTTCACCATTTTTGGTGAAACGTGACACCGCTTTGAGTGCGCCCAAAAAACGAGAAAAAAGGCGGGGGTGCCCCTCTTCACCATTTTTGGTGTTTAGTGGCACCGCCCAAAAAAACATGCAAAAACATGGAAAAATGGGCTTCTTCCAGGCTCGTCGGATTAGACGAAGCCTGAAGACTCAGTCCGGAATGCTCAGCCGCTCCGCAAGCTCCTCCGTGGCCGCGCGCGCAATCTCCTCGCACAGCGCAGCAGGGACGCTGTAGAGCAGCTCGCGTGGCTGCTGGCTGACCCTCTCGTACTGCCCCTCCATCAGCCGCGGCCCCCGCTGCGCGGCGCGGAGGTGCCTGCCGTCCTGCCACGCCTCGCAGCGGCTGCCGGGCTTGCACAGCCCTCGGCTCGGTCTCCAGCGCATGTTGGTCCACAGCCGCGTCTGCTTCCTGTACGGAGTTCCATACTTGCAGTAGGTCACGTCCACCCAGGGCAGGCGCTCCATGAACGGGCGGGTCTTCAGCAGCCCGGTGGCCGGGTTCTCTATGACCCACATCAAGGCGCGTCGTCAGCGCGCGGCTGTATTCCGTGCAGACGGGACTGGCCCAAACCATGTCAAAGTGCCCCGGAAACGTAGTGTAGTCCCAGCTCCGGATGTCGCACAGGATTGTGGGCTCAAATTTCGACACGATGTCCAGGGAGACGACCTCCCAGCCCGCCGCCCCGAAGGCCCTGCCCACCGACTTGGTGCCGCAGAAAAGCTCCAGGAGTCTCGGCATTTTTAAAGAGCAAGATCACCGCCACTGCGACGATGAAGAAAACTCGCGCGTTCATCGGACCGGACTTTTTTCCTACGGATAAAAAAAAGGAGCCGAGCAATGAAGCTTGCACTCGGGCTGGACGTTCAGACCAATGCCAAGGGGGGAAAGTTCATGTCCATAGAGGACTCCCATCAGGGCGCGCTGGTGTGCAAGGCGGACGTGGAGGTGCTGTGGGAGCCCGGCAACTTCCAGGACGACGGGGCCAAGAGGGTGGGCGTGTGCTTTGCGAGCAACACCGACCTGGGGGCGTGGACGGATGGGGTGGAGCAGGCCGTCGTCGACGACATGATCATCTTCCAGAAGCCCTTTCCGGGGGTCACCCGCGCCGAGCTTGAGAGCCAGCTGCAGCGCGCCGTCAAGGTGAGCGCCAAGGGCAAGCACGTGAAGTGCAAGATGGACTTGGAGCGCTGCCTCTTCTGGGACTCCGCCGGCAACCGCGTGCCGCGCCCCGCGGAGTTCGCGCGCCGCAGGGGCCGCGCGCTTGTGGAGGCCCGGCACGTGTGGCTGATGGCCAGGCAGTGGGGCGTGCTCTTCGAGGTGCGCCACCTCATGCTGGAGCCCCTGGAGGCGCCGTGCTGCCCGTTCTAGGCCGCCTCCAGCAGCTCGGAGCTCGTGGCCCGTGAGGCGCCCACGTACAGGTGGCGCAGCGTGAGGTGGCAGGACTCCAGGTCCAGGCGGACGCGGTTGTGGAGGGTGAGCCCCTGGCAGCTGGCGTAGGTCACTGCGTGGCTCGGCCGGGTGGCCCGCAGCAGCTCCTGGTTCTTCAGCCGCATGCCGTTGTCCAGCCTCACTCCGTCCGGCTCCACTTCCGCCACGGCCACAAAGACGCCCTTGGGTATCTTCCCGCCGGCCCCAATGAGGCGCAGCCCCGGCCACACCCTCATGCTCTGCGGGCTGTTTTGTGTTGCAGTACACCCAGGTGTTCCCGCTTCGTAACACCCCATGTGGATGACCTGCGTCTCCAGCTCTAGGCGCTTTGAGGCCTCCGGCGCCAGGGCCCGGTTCGCCGCTGCGTTCACGGCCATGCGCTTGCTGTGGCTGATGACCAGCGTGGTGTCCGGCCACCCGGGCTTGGAGGGGTAGAGCTCCTTCAGCCTCGCCTTGGCCTGCTCCAGCGTGGGGCACGCCTCCTCGCCGACCCGCAGCCACTTCACGAAGTCGAAGATGCCGGGGTCGGAGCGCATGTTCTCCGTGAGCTCGTGCCTGTGCCCGCCGGCCAGGTCGCGGATCAGCTGGCTGAACGGGGCCGCCCGGCCCAGGAGTCCAGCACGGCCGGCAGCTGCCGGAAGTCTCCCAGCAGCAGGAACTTCACGTCGGCGTTCAGCCCCACGCAGGCCAGGTCCGCCCAGAGCGCCATGTCCAGCTGCGTGATCTCCTCCACCACCAGCCAGTCCAGCTTTTGCGCGCTGCCCCCGCGCACGTACCTGCGCCCCCAGTGGTCGGCCGTCTGCGCCCCCAGGTTCTGCGCGGAGCAGTGCGTCTTGGACACCAGGTGCACCGCCTCGCCCTGCTCTCGCAGCCTCGCCACAATGGTCCGGGCCAGGTGAGCAGCAGGGAGTTGCCCGCCAGGCAGTGGCTTATAGGGTCGTCCACCCCGTTCCACCTCCGTTGTTTGGGGCGCTCCGTGCGCGGCGCCCGGCTGCTGCCCAGCAACGGCCTCGTCTCTTCTACGCGGTAGACCGGCGTGCCGTCCGGGTGGCGCAGCGCCTCCAGCGCCCGCAGCCGCTCCGTGAAGCGCTTCGGCAGCCGCTGTGCGGCGCCAGGACGCTTTGGCCTATCTGCGCGCTCTGCCCTGCCCGGCAGACCTGCATCTACGCCGACCCCTCCCTACATCTTCCGGCCGCACCATGAATTACTACGGCGCAAAGGGACGGGGGCACGACCTGGCCTTCCGATCGGAGCTCCAAGACGCGCTCTTCGCGAGCGGCCTGCCCGTCGTCGTGAGGCCCGAGAGCTCTACTGCAGGGCCGACTTGGGCAAGAACTGTTTCAAGCCCGAGCTGCTGGTGCTGGCCGGGCAGCCCGCATTAGGCCCGCATTAGGCCGCACTAGGCCCGCGTAAGGCCCGCGTTGGGCACGGTGGCTTGGTGCTGGCCCGGTGATGGTGATGGCCCGGTCATGGCCCGGTGATGGGCTAAAAAGCACGGTCGGCCTGACTCCTCACCGAGCGACTGAAAAAGAGCGTGGCCTGGCCCGGTGATGGCCCGGTGATGGCCCGGTGATGGCAGAGAGAGAGAGAGAGAGAGAGAGAGAGAGAGAGAGAGAGGGAGAGAGAGAGAGAGAGAGAGAGAGAGAGAGGGAGAGAGAGAGAGAGAGACAGAGACATAAACGGATCTGATACGTAAGACAGGTAAATAGCAAGAGAGATGCAATGAAATAGATGGAAAGGTAGGTCAGAGAGGTAAAAAAGAAAGATAAGTAACTAGATCGATAGGTAAACAGATGGACAGACGTATATTGAAAGATGTACAGATTAACAGGCAGGTAGACAGATACAGAAAGAAAAGAAAAAAAGAAGGAAAGAAAGAACGAGAGAAACACAACGAGAGAAAGAAAGCAAGAAAGCAAGAAAGCAAGATTGCAAGAATGCAAGACAAGAAAGCAAAAAGGAAAAACAGAAAGAATGAAAGAAAGAAAGAAAGAAAGAAAGAAATAAAGAAAGACAGAAATGCCGAAAGAAAGAAAGGAAGGAGGGATCGAAAGAACCATGAGAAAAGAAATGACAAGAAAAGGAAAACAAGAAAGGAAAATACACGAAAGGACAAATGAAATGAATGAATGAATGCATGAATGAATGAATGAGAAGAAAGAAAGAAAGAAAGAAAGAAAGAAAGAAAGAAAGAAAGAAAGAAAGAAAGAAAGAAGGAAGGAAGGAAGGAAGGAAGGAAGGAAGGAAGGAAGGAAGGAAAGAAAGAAAGAAAGAAAGAAGGAAAGAAGAAAAGAAAGAGCACATACATACATAAAGAAAGGAAACAAGGGAAGACTAAAGAAGGAAGGAAGGAAGACAGATAGGAAGAACCCACAAATGCGCGAACGTAGGAAGGAAGGAAGGAAGGAAGGAAGGAAGGACGGACGGACGGACGGACCGACGGACGGAAGGAAAGAAGGACGGACGGAAGGACGGGAAGGAAGGAAGGAAGGAAGGACAGACGGAAGGAAGGAAGGAAGGAAGGACGGCTGGACGGAAGGAAGGAAGGAAGGACGGACGGACGGAAGGAAGGAAGGAAGGAAGGACGGACGGACGGAAGGAAGGAAGGAAGGACGGAAGGAAGGAAGGAAGGAAGGAGAACAAGACCAAGAGAAACATATTCAAGAAGGGACAGCGAAGAACCATAGTTCCTATATCTTTGAAACATCCAACCATCGCATTCGGCTCTACTGGTATGAGGGCTTGGAAGGTTTGGAACATTGTTTGCGCTGGTCGTGCGCATCTTGTTTTGTTTGGAAATTGCAAAAGTAAACAACCATTCAATTGTTGGCAAGCCAGGGTCTTTCATTTTCAGGTTTCCGTTGTGCTCGGCATACCATTGTTTTGTCGGGTTTGTCTGCTTCGTGCTTGGCCACTTTCTGAGCCTTTGGGTTGTGAGCCGCAGCCTTGGTGCTTCAAACAAGCTCGTAAGGCGTGTTGAACAGCCAAATGGAAGGAGCTGGGGTGGGGCAGTTGTGTTAAATTTGTGTTTTGACGGCTCAGGTTGCAGTGTTGGTCGTCATGGTATTCATTGAATGCCCTGAGATACCAAACCTTTTGGTTTAAGGTAGCAAGTTGCAAAGCTCATCATGTGATTTGATGCAGGAGCCTACCCGGCAGAACCCATGATGTACACGCAGGGGGCTGCACCTTATTCTGCGCAACCTATGACCTACTCGGCAGGCTGGGTGCGGCAACGGTGAAATTCGACACCTTTCCTGCCCAGGGAAGGTCTTGGAAGTTCAACAGTTGCTTCTGTGGGCAGGTGGAATAATTTTTGATTTCTACAACTGGCAGGGCTTGAAAAACGGCCAAGGCTCGCTTGTTCGCGGAAAGACTCAACCGGGTTGTTTGTTTACCCGGTGCTTGTTTTTTTGTTTGTAGGCGGGACCGTCGGACTGGAACAGCCGGTTTTGCCAGGTCCTGTCACATATTCCGCGTCCCCCTATGCTCCGAGCTCGGCGATGCCGTTTGCTGGCTTCACGGCTTCGGAATTAGGCGCCGACTCTTTGGTTTGTTTTTGGAGTCTCCAGTGTGGCAACTTTGCGACGGAAACAAGGGGGCAAAGGTGTTTCCAATCAAGAGAGCTGTCCGCGCTTGTGTCGTTAATAGACCCATACTAATAGGGCGGTGTCACCCACAGTGACAAATCCCCACTAAAATGAGACACCCTGGTTTATTATTCCAGGGGTTAGTGTCAGACAAGTGCTGTTCTTCGGGGCATAAGGTGGATTCTTCAAGAGACCGCTGCCGCAGTTTGGGAAATCAAAGGATTTGGTATGCGACCCAGCCGATGTCTTGTAATCGCAGAACTGTGAGTTTTAGAGCTTGCTTCATCAGTCCGCTGCAGTTGGAAAAGTGAAACCCCCCAGTGTAGCACACGCACTACTGCCAGGGGAATGTCCGTTGCAGTCAATAGGCCCACTGGCGGCCGTATCCTGTGAAAACGAAACACGCCCTAAAGGCCGTCGCTATGCACGGGGGATCCTCTGGGATCTTTTTCTTTCGTGAGGTGCTCCGGGCTCTTTGGACCACGCCCAGGGCAAGTGGTTTGCTCCGGGAGAGGCTCTGCCCCCGGGCTTCGTGGTGACGGCGCACCCGGAGGGCCACACCGCGCCCGCCGAGACCCACGCCATGTCGGACAAGGTATGGGGCCTTCGGGAGGCTTAGGTTGGGGCCAGTAACTCGGTGACTCGGTAGGGATTCCTTTTTGGTGGTGTTCGATTGGAGTGCCTTCTAGCAGAAACACCATGAAACACCCGTTTGTTCTGGAGGTTGGAGTGGGAAATGCAGGCCGTCGCGTGCTTTCCAACAGGGGAACGGGGTCTTGGGATCTTTCGGGTAAATGTATTTTCGCAGAGTCAACATGCACACGAAACATATGTCACTCTCACATACATAGACACGAGCACGCATGCACGCACCCACCCACCCCCACCCCCACCCCCACTCCGACACCCACACCCAAACCCAAACCCACACCCACACCCGAACCCACACCCACACTTATACCCACACTCACACCTATCCATGTATGCGTCCGTGCGTCACGAACGCTCGCCGCCCCCCCGCCCCCCCTGCCTGCATGCACGAACGCACGCAGGCACTTACCCAGGCACTTACGCAAACACGCATTCTCGAATCCAATGTTGTCCTTTTGGACCCGCTTGGCAAGTGATAAGGGGTACTCGTATGGAACCTATTGGGGTATTTACTCCAAGTTGGGGACACCTGTGGGACCTCAAAGACCGAGCTAAGAAGGCAAGAAATGTATTTGAAGTGAGGCACCTGCCCAAAGTTTCTGGGAGGCGCGAGAGAGCTTCGTGGTCAGCTCTGGACTTCCCATGAAGACTGGCACCGCTTCCTCTTCGAAGGCCGACTCCGGCTATGGCTGGCAGCGGGTGGCGGGCTATTCGGCGGAAGCCGGCCGGTGGCGCTTGAGATCGCTCGAAATCTCGAAATCCGTCGCGAACTATTGGGGGATTGGGGGTCGAAGACATGGGCCCCAACCGTTCTTGAGTTGAACACGATGTCAGTGGAGGGCTCACGGTACGCACCACTCGTGGTTCCAGGAATTCTAGATGCCAAATCCGATATCATGGTGTCATGGGGTGAACATGGTTCACGTCATCGAGGAATCTTACAGTTTTTTCTGGAATACACCCAGTAGCCCAGGAGATGAATCATGCCCTCGGTTCATCTTATTGGACGCATGGCGTGGTTGGTGAATGGGCAGAACAAAGAAGCTTGCTTCAATTGTTATTTGAAAGTGGAGAAGTCAGTGCCAACTGTGCCAACTGTCGTAGACAGTGAGCCTTGTTTTGGTCCCGAGCCCAATTCCCGAGAAACATAACGGTTCCAATGTGTTTTCTTGCGGCTTTTTCAAGATTCCGGTTCAGGGTAATGCAACGAGCGGGTTGCCATTCAGTGGGCAGGTCCGCGCTCCGAGCGGGTAGAATCGCACTCAAGGTTCATGAGGTCAGGTGGCTAGAACCATGACGTCCTGCAATGCTCGGCGCTCAGACCAAGAAGAGCAAGAAGAAGAAGTCCAGCGGCTGCTGCTGAGCGAGGGCACATTTCGTCCATACAGATCTTCCTCAGGGGGCTATGCCGCTGGGGAAGGTATGAGATTTTGCTGTGATTCAGGGAGGCACACCATGTGCTGCCTTGAATCACTCGCCCTTTTGCCAAATGAACCTATCCTGATAATTAGCCCCCTTCCGGCTTTCCGGCTGAAAAGGCTCATGCCGTGGCGAACTGTTGGGCAGGCGAGCACCGCTTGCGCTGAAGGCTGTTGTGGCCGAGCTCTCAAGCTGGTGAAAACCATCAGCTGGATGGATCTTAGGATGTTCTGGAGCATAAGTCTACGCCCCACGTGCCACGTATTGAGAGGCGACTCGCCGTTGGCTGTAAATCTGCCAAGGCAGCCAAGGATTTTGTTTCGCTTGCCCATGTTGAGATTCCCTTTCCATCCAGCCCCTTACTGAGCCCTATGTGGTTTCACGAAGCAGCTGGCAGCTCTTTTCGGGGAAGCTCCCGCATGAAAGCTGGGGCATGGCTTCCGTGGCGCTGCCCCATGGCACTGCGAGGCACAGAAAGTCGAAATCGAACTTGTGTGGGTCCTGGTTCATTTTGTTTTTTCCCGAGAGTTGCACAATGAGTTTGAGCGCAAGCTCCTTTGAGCTACCGAGTGAAGCGCTGAGAGAGGTCGCGTGTCCAGGAGACAGGCAGTTTTTTTTGCAGGGTTGGCACAGGCTCGCCTGGAGTTCGGCGCCGAGCCTGGCCCTGGCCCAAAGCGAGGGAAGGAGTTGATTTGAGCTCAATGCCAAACCCATTGCAATCTGTGGGTTGAGGAAAAGGGCTGGGTTGATGCATTTTTCATAGGACTTGTTGCGAGAAGGAAGCCTGGAAGGCTTTTCTGGATTGAGCTTGTGGGTTGTCGGGTTGGCAGGACCTCAGCCTCGGCTCGTCGATCCTCCCGAGGCGCTCTTATCTAGTTCTCATGTGCGTCCCTTCCGTTCTGCCAATGGGGAGTGGACCTCAGTCTAAACTGTTCTGACCGATGCGTTTCGTTCCTCAACTATGGGGACAGGGCAACGCTTCTGAATACGAGTCCATAGCATGTGGTTTGATGCCAGAATATCCTGCAGATCAGTAGCCTCACAGATCAAAGCAGAGGTGTCCATCCTGGTACTTGTCAGAGACATGTTTCATCAGGGCGCCCGGGCAGCGCCATCGTTTGCGCGTTGCCGCTGGTCGGGGGGCCCAGGTCTTCGGACTTACGAGAGCGGCTGACCCTCAGGGAAAAAAGCCGACGGCCACAGGAGTTCTTCTTTTGCGAGAGAGGTGATTACACGAAAGCTTTGAGCCAGGGGCATGTTTTGAAATGGGTGTGCTGTCGCCGCTTGCGCGAGTGGGCACTGGTAGGTACTAGTTAGGGGTGCCATCTTGGACTGGTGATGTTGGTGCAGGGGACATGAGGAGTTTGTTGCCAGTGATTCTCCAGTTCTTGGCTGTTTGGGTCTGGTGCTCTGATCGCTGACTCGCTGAGGGGTTGGTTGGCAGAACCAAACAGAGCCGCCGGCCCAGGCGCTCGGATTCCGCGCAGGGACGCGGCCTGTGAGTGGCAGGCCGGGGGGAGGGTTGCATCTTTTGATCGCCAGAGAGTCGGTGAGGCTCAAAGTACACCGCAGGCAGCTGCCGCACCTGCCTGCTTCGATTTCAGAACTGGGTCCAGGGCTGCAAAGAGGACAGCACCTCAGAAATTGATGGACAGAATGCACCAAGGCGCCGAACATAGCCAAAGGGCAATTCCCTAATTGTTGTTGTTTTTTGATGCAGTTTGTTGAGAAAGGGGCTGCTTGTTCCCAGCAGTCTCTCCAGATCAAGCCAAATTGGGCCACCTTGGCTTGCGCAGGCGGCGCAGCCATCGCCGAGCACAAGGCAAGCACTAGGGAGTTGCAAGTTGGGGGCTGGAGGAGCCGGACCAGGATCCACAGTCACAGAACCCGGCACTGATATGGGTGTTTCTCGAAATTGGGGACTGCCGGTACCGGCAGGTAGATGGTTTCCTTTTGGCTTCCTTTACAAACCATCCAAAAAGGGGTCCCCCTCTTTTGTGAATTTCCCATACTCTGTGTGTCAGTGTAGTTAAGACGTGGGATCGGACGAACGATTTGGGCAGGCTGAGTTTCCACTGTCACAACCGTGACAAAACTTTGTCAGCGGGAAGGCTCCGATGACTATGACGTCATCGTCATAGGCGCGGACCTGTGAGGGGAAGAGGAATGAAGCGTTTCAGCCTTCCGTCATCTTGTAAGGATTGCACCCCGCGTGTTTTGCAGACGTTTGGGGAGTCATGTTGATGCTCCCAAGAGGGGCCGAGCAGATTGTTCCTGAGAAGCCATCAGTGTTGTGATGTGCTGCTGCCGAACTCCGGGATTGCGGATTTGACCAACAGGCTTTTGCTAGCTCAGGTTGCGAAAAATCAACTGGGAGCAAGTAGGCACAAGTGTGGGAAGTATCTGGTTCAAAACAAAATGTCAGAACATGCAACCACAGTCCTTGCTCGATTTGGCAGCTCCATGTATGAGCATGTTTGTTGCCCAAAGCCCCCGGACTTCTTGTTGATGGGAGACTGTCAAAGGAGTTGGGAGTGTGATCAAGTCCTTCGGCCGTTGATAGAGGATTCATGTGGCAAAGGTGTGTGCAAATGAACACCTCCATCAATCGTGAACCCCTCATTCAAGCACCCGCAAACACTGAAGGTGTCTGGCCCTGCAAGCAGGGTGGGTGAATGCCTTGAGCACAACTTTTATGAGGCTCATTTGGGATGGACAATGATCTCATACACTATTATCTGCCGATGGATGGGTCCCTGATAAGTTTATCAGTCAAAGATTGTAGCATCTCTCGTTCCGATATAATTAACAAACAACCTGATTCAATCAATGTGACTCCAGGTCTGGATTCATTGACTCAAAGTGTTCACTTCAGCGAAAGTTGATGTTCATTGTGTCCCACAAGGACTTTTATGAGTCAGCCTCATGTTGTTGTGATTCGGCGAGTGTGCACCATCTCATCTTATTACGGTAGCATGTACGTGTCCCATATTGCGGGAACCACTCTGTGGATAGTTCTCTTCAGGGAAGCCAAGCATTGTGGGACTCCGACAATCTTTGAGCCCCACCCCTATCCGCTGAATCCCAACAGAAACCGCTTCGATCCCCGCGCACCGCGTGCGTGGGTCATTCCCCGGCCGCATGGCAGGAGCTGGGCTTGGGGGCCTGGCGGCCGCCGCGAGCCTTGGGAAGGCCAGGGGGGGGGTAAGGCCAGGTGTTTGTTTTGTTTATTCTTCTTTTTTTCCCCTCCGTTATTTTTGGTGGTGTGAGTGTTATGAGAATCTGGGGCATTCGTAGAAGGATGGATTTTCATATTTTTGCTGCCCTTGAAAAGGAAAGACGGATTTGGAGACAAGACGGAAGCTTGGACATGTTCCTGGATTGGGGGGTGTTCTCTGGTTGAGGCAATCGAAGTGTTGCGGGAGACAGTGCGAGGCCGGGCGCAAAGTCCTAGTGGTGGAGGCCCACTCAGTTTGTGGCGGCTGCGCGGGGGCCCCGCCACGCAGCAGTGAAGTGAGTAGTGCTTTGGGGTTTCGGTTTGTACCAGATCGACGTTTTGTTAACGGGGCAGCTTGCTGCGGTCTGAAAACTGCAGGGCAGAAGCAGTCTTGCTTACATGAACAAATGCGTGCACACGTTCCTGCTAGAAGTGCATGCTAAATCGTCTGTCCTTTTATGCAGCGTTGTGACATATTGCCTTACACAGCATGCTTGATTTGTATCGGTGCTTAGCAGTTTCTTTTTGTCAGTTTTCATGCTCCAGAAGCAACGCGGTGCAAAAGCAGCACCGCCAGAAGCTGGGTTTTGGGCTGTTGGGACTTCCCCACAAGTTTGATCCTCGAACCTTGGCTTTTGAAGAGAATGGCAACATGTTCAGACCTCCAACATGAGTGAGTTCAAGAGACGTACTGTTGAACCCCGACGGCTGGGCCAAAGCGATCTCTTTCACCGAACGGGACACCAAAAGGAGGTCAACCAGTCTGGGGGAACACCATTTTGAGAGACCCGCATTTCGAGTCATCGTGCAAGGCACACTCCTTTACCCGCAAAGCGCCCGGGGGAGGCTCCGTGAGCGGGCCCAAATGGGCGGAAGACGCCGACTGCTGCTTTTTTGTGGGATTGAGCCAAACAAGCCCATACCTTCTTGAGAGAATTGATTATGTGACAGTGGCATCTATTTTTTGGCTGAACAAGCAATTGACCAGTGAAGGTCAGAGAAAAGGCGACCCCACTCGTGCTTTTGTTGTCATGGGCGCAAACTTGACAGCTGGGTCAAGGGGATCGTCACTCGGCTAGAAGTTGTCGCTGCTCTTGATTGCGCGGGATTGAAGAACTCTGTGACACTAGGGAGCACACAGCAGCAATAAGCTGGGACCGCATGATTTAGAAGAAGGGTTCCTTAGCAGGTTCCCTCGCCGCTCCATTGATTACGGAACTCAAAGCCACGCACGCCATTTGCTTAGTGCAAGTCATACATCAGAGGGACCAAAGTTTATGCTTCTTGATGGCTTCTGCAAAGCCGCGCGGATCACCCGCGGATCAAATTTCCAACTCCGTTTTATGTGGCAGGAGTGGGACTGTCAATTGTCACCCTCGCGTTTTTTTTTTTTTTTTTTTGAGAGTGAAAGTTCGACCGCGAATGACCCAGCAACAACTTGCAGGATTCTAGAGGGAAAGGGTTGTGCTTCCTGAGAAGGCCCAACAGGCACAACTATTGTCCTGGTAGTGTAGCATCTGAACTCTTGAAACAATATGAGATACTTCAGATGTCTTTTAGATCATCCAATTCCTGGTTTTGACCGCTGGAAACCACGAAACGGAAGGCTTCCCAGCGTGAGATGGGTCAATGGGTGCGCAAGAGACGAATAAAACCAAGTCCAACTCGTCGGGGCGGGTGACGGGTCCTTGGGGGGTTTGGCGACATCACCCGAGGGTGATCGTTGTCGCCAAGAGAGTGTCCTTTGGCGAGCTCTGAATTTCTGCGAATGCCAACGTGGCATGAGGATCCTTTTGCACAAGACATTGGAGAGAGAGAGAGAGAGAGAGAGAGAGAGAGAGAGGAGAGGAGAGAGAAAAACACATATTTTGCGTAGTGATGGCTCAAGATCCGTCGCAAAAAGATTGCTCAGAGAGATTGCCTACAAAGCCTTGCGGCAGAAGACTTAAGCGCGCAAACCACGACACGCTATTGCAACATGTTGACGCGCCTGGTGCTGCAAAGGAATGTCTACCGGCCTTCTGCCCATCAACCCACGCAAGCATTACATTGGGTTTCGTACATTACGTGGAATATCTGCAGAGAGCCCCGCAGAAAGTGCACTGCTGTCCGTCTTTCCGCGTCACCTTAAAAGACTAAACTTCTTGAAGATGACATGACTGTCTTGTGAGTCTACAAGCGCACGACAACTGCTTTCAGTTGAACGCTTCTGATATTGGCAGGTCAATATGTCTTCGATTCGGGGCCATCCATCCTCACGGACATGGGGTGCGCCTTCCAGTGCCAAGGGAGGATGATGTTCTTTGTTTTGTTGGCCTCCATTCTGACGTGGAGCTGGAACTCGCTTATTAAGGAAAAGTCAGGTATGTGTAGACTTGCGGCTGCTTTTCTGTGCCAGCACGCACTGAAAGCCACTGCACACCCAAGCGCTGCACATGCAGAGAGGACGTGCACGTGTGCATATTCGTTGTGGCAACGTGGCTGTCACGCAGGAAGCGGAATCCCCTGCGGCTGGTGCTGGACTATGCAGAGGGCTCGGGGCAGTGAGCAGAGCCTGTGCGACACTTTTTGTTGCACTGGAGAAATCCGAGGATCCCGTGCGGTGAGTTTTCTTCAGATATGTTTTAAGGGGAATTGTGGGGATCCTTGAAGCCAGACAGCTGGCTGTTCATAGCTGCAGCCAGTCAGGTCGGAGCCAGCGATTACTTGGAGTGGATCCACTACGAGGGCCCTTCGCTCGGCCTGTGCACATTTTCGGGAGACGTGAGCGTTGCACTGAAATGGACTTGTGACGCCAGTGGTCAAAACCCTCTGTTTTGTACAACTAATTGGAGAGCCCTCCTGTTTTGACACATCTTTTTTTTGGGGGGGATGGGATTAAGCTCCTTCTCCCGAGCTCCTTGCGAAACCGGACCAAAGCCAAACTGCGACCGGAGAGCTCGGGTAGTTGCTTGCTTGCTTGCTTGCTTGCTTGCTTGCTTGCTTGCTTGCTTGCTTGCTTGCTTGGTTGGTTGGTTGGTTGGTTGGTTGGTTGGTTGGTTGGTTGGTTGGTTGGTTGGTTGGTTGCTTAGTTGGTTGGTTGGTTGGTTGGTTGGTTGGTTGGTTGGTTGGTTGGTTGGTTGGTTGGTTGGTTGGTTGGTTGGTTGGTTGGTTGGTTGGTTGGTTGGTTGGTTGGTTGGTTGGTTGGTTGGTTGGTTGGTTGGTTGCTTAGTTGCTTGGTTGGTTGGTTGGTTGGTTGGTTGGTTGGTTGGTTGGTTGGTTGGTTGGTTGGTTGGTTGGTTGGTTGGTTGGTTGGTTGGTTGGTTGGTTGCAGGCACAGGTTGCATTTTTTTTGTTTTTTTGCTTGGTTGCTTGCTTGCTTGGTTGGTTGTTGCAGGTTCCTTGGGACGCAGGTCCCAGAAATCCCAGGGGCTCCTCTGGCTGTGGAAGCCGAGGCTGGGGCATGCTGACGCCGGAGGGCCCTTGGCGCCTGGAGCTGGGCAAGCCGAGCTTCCGGGACCAGGTGCTGCCCAGGCGCGCTTTTTGCTTCCGCTTGGGGCGCTTGGGAGGCCTTTGGCCGGAGAGAACGTTTTTGGGCGCAGATCGGTGTGGTGGTGGCAGTGGGTGGTGGTGGTGGTGGTGGTGGTGGTGGTGGTGGTGGTGGCAATTCAGATTGGGAACACCTTTCTTGGTTGCTGAAACGCAGCGCGAACTCCATTTTTGTAGTTCGGACATGTATAAACAGGACCCTGCTGGATATAGATTCATCCAAAACACTTGTTCGACTCGGTGCTGTCTTTTGGCTCGGCAGCCCCTTGCTCGACCACTTTGCTGGTCGGTGCACCGGTGTTTGCAGTAAGCCTCCTCATGGTCTGGGGACGGGTCAGCATTGCGAGCTGTCAGTGTTCGCTTTGGGGCTTGGCAGCCAGGATTCTAGGCAATTGTGGTAAGTGGTGAGGACTCCTCCTGGTCTGGGCAAGGACTGGTCTTAGAACTTGGCCGGAAGCATCATAGCTGATTTACAGGGTCCATGTGCAAAGAATAGTAGTCGACCGTCACTTGGGCAGGTTCTTTGTGTGGATTCTGCTTGGATGTCGCCTCCAGGTATGGCGTGCCACCAGAGGAATTTGATGAGGCGGGCTGACAGGTGATCCAAGACCTGGCTTGGATCACCACAAAGATGCCGATGGGTGGGGATGTCATAACAGCACCCGTGGACAGCTATGTGGACAGCCAAGTGGAATCTCCCGGAGCAGGTGAGGTGGATAGTTGGTTTGCTGCCTGGGGGCTTGACCAGCACCCCCAAGCCACCACCCTCAGATGGCAATGCCGCAAGCTAAGTGTAGCCACAATGTACAAGTCATTAAACCTTGGTATTGGAAATCCAGAGCCATCCACTCACGAGTCTTTTTTTGGGCGAAGGCCTCCTGACTGAGGTGGTGAAGGCCTCTGCCCCGCTGGCGCAGGCTGGGCCTTCGCTAGTTGGTCGGAAGCGTGTTTGAGGCAAGCAGTCAACGCGAATGTTATCTCGGCCCGAGGGTCCATTCCACGGTCAGAGGAGTAAAGCTGAAGGCTTGCCTGAAAATACGCCGAATCCCAGTTCTCATGCAGAGTTTTGCAGGGTCAACTTCCTGCAAAAAAGCGGAGCATGACAGGGTTTCGATGTTCGTTGAAGATGGTTCTACATTGGTGGCTTGCAGGCAGTGGTGAGCAGTCACATGATTGTGTTCTCCAAGAAATGCGTGCTTTTTGGCGGCCTCTTCCTCACCAAATTATGTTTGTAGGTTTCAGCACCACAATGCTGTGCTTTCGCACCCACAGAGATCTGTACCAGAGGCACGGGAGTGCCATTGTATGATAGGTATCACTGTTAGAACCATCTGAGGATAGCTATCGCAGTATCTAGCCTCTCACACTCGATCCGCAGTGAGGATACGGGATTTGTCCACTTCATTCAGCTGCCTTGTAAACACTCTGGCAGATGCAGACAGTCGAACAAAACAGAACGGCATATTGTTGTTCTTTTGGTAGTTGTGCGGCTGCAACTTGCTGAAGAGTATCATCGGTTGCTTCCCGGACTGCAGCTCTCCTGTTTAGTCCTGAACCATCTTCCCTCGGAAGGGCACGCAGATGTCTGTTCTTATCCAAGGAACCCACAAAAAACACCAAGCAACCTGCCGGTTTGTTGGGGAGGAGGGCCTGCCAGGTGGGTCAGGACATTCCGGGCCTTGTGTTGCGAGATGATGCGCGGCTTGGCGAAAATTGGCTCCCTTGAAATATTTCGTCTCAAATGAAGGAACCCGCATACACACACACACACACATGCGCACACATCGGTTTGTTTCTTTTTCAGGGTACCAATTTGCGAGGTGTCATGGGGACCAAGGTAAAGCAGCGATTTTTGGGTTCCCCCATGTGGAAGGCTTGAGACAAGGAGGCTCAAAGCAATCAAACAGCATCTGAATAGCCACAAAAGCTTTGCGGTGCGCCTGTAAAGCAACCCCCGAAGAAGTACTCTCACCATATTGCACAGTCACTCTCGAACATGCACTCCTCTCGGTCAGTCTTGTTTGGTCCTCAGTCTGTGTTTCGGGTTTGCAGCTTGCAACAAAAACAACTTGTTCAGTAAGTCGCAGAAGAAGTGACTCAGGTGGCAGCTGCTGCCATTGCTGCTGAAGGTGGGGGACTTTGCCCTTCGGTTCGCTTCGGTGCCGAGTCCTTGTTCGGAGCTGTCTTCTGTGGGGCGGCGCTTTTTTGTTTTTTTTCCCGCGCTGGTTGTCGTGAGTTCTGCACTGTCCGGTTTTGCTCCCTCAACCCCCAGGTTTTGTTTTGCCAAGTGAATGCATGGAAGCGGGGGGAGGGGTTACAGGTACGGAGTGGTGCAGGCAGGAAACCTCAAGGAACCGGAAAGGACCGTGTGAAGGCGAATTGGCATACAGGCTCTTTGGCAGCATTGATTAGCTCCCTGCAAGATGGAGTCGATAGCGGCTTAGAGATTTATTTCTGAGCCACCAAAGTTTTTCTTTGGTGCATCATGAAAGTTTATCTCGTTGCAGGGCCTCTTTCACCCGTTGTCAAAAGTGTCGTTGGTATTAGGCACTTAACCTTCGATGATGCTTTGAGCCTAAATCGATGAGGAAGTCCAGTTTTAGGTATTGTAGCATCATTCTGGCCAACTTGAGCCAGGTTTGGTATGAAAGAACCCACCCACTGACTGACCCCTCCAAGTTTTCAGATGTTCCGTTCGCCTCGCGCGGGCCATCGCTTGGTTTCTTCCGAGTTCCCCGGCGGGGTGCTGCCGGCGCTGCGGGACGCGCCGAAGCTCTCAGAGCCCTTCTCGGTGGCCGGGAACCCCGGGCGCTTTTCGGTGCGCGCGTGGCGGCCGATTGACGCGGGTGGCTCGTCGTTTTTTTGAGGCGACCCCTTTGTCTGTCTCGTTTTTTCTTCTCTGTTTTTTGGAAACCGTTTCGATTTTTTTGCCCCCCCTGGAACATGGTACTTTGCCGTCGTTGCTTTGTGCTTCGCGTTGCCTCCGTCTCCGTGTTGCGTGTCCGAGATTTTTTCCAGGCTTTAAACAGCGCTTCCGCTGTTTGACACATGCTTAGAGTGATCAACGGGGCCCGGGAGGGGGCCGCAATCCTCGGAAGCCTCGCAAGTTGCAAGGTCCTGGACCAGCTGGAGGCGGAAGGCAAGCTGCAGCAGGGCAGCTGGCCGCTTCGTCGCGAGATATTTATGGTCACGGTGGAGTCCAAGTGTGGGTCAAAATGCAACCACCAGGGGACCGCAGGTTGTGGTCTTTGGTTCCATCTATCAGGGTTCCATTTTGGGTTGACATTTTTGACCCATAGCCAAGTCTTGACTGCATGTTGGCTGACCGATGAAATGTGCCTTTTGTGGAGGTGATGCCCGCATGGGGGCGTGTTTTCCTGGAAGTCTTTCCTGACGGTTTGCTGCTACTCCTGGTGTGGGTTGATCCTGTCTAAATTTGAAGTTCAGGTCATTCCGGTCGAATGTGTGCCGGTCGAGACGAGGCTGCGCTCTTGGCTGGACGCCCTCGCGTTCTCCTTGTCCGGGCTGGACTGCACTGGTGGGACACTCAGAGTGACGGGCATAATCCCCTGGTGTGGGGTTTCCTTGCAACGTGGGCGAAATGGGCTGCTCTCTTTTGCCAATCGGGGCAAGTACGGAAGACTTTGAACATCACTGGGTTCTAGACCATGAGAGTTTCTCCTTGATCCGTGACAGCACACGCAAGGCGCTTGACCGCAGTTGGCTGCCCTCCCGCATCTTAGTTGTTTTTGAACTCTGTGACTTTCGGACTCTGGAAGTGAGTTTGTGCCACAGATGGTTTCCTATAGGAGACACCATTCAGCTTTGATTTCCTTTTCGATTGTGGCGGTCCAAACCGGGCACGGCGTCCCGTAGGTACCACTGCTGCGGCGATGGCTTTCACCATGGATGAGCTCCATCGACCAGACACGCGGGGCTTGGCGTACCCCAAGGCGAGAGAGACGGAAAGCAGTCTTGGGTGTGTCCCCCAAAAATGGCTACACTTTCCTTTTGGTTTCTCCTCAAAACCAATCAATTGAGGTTTCCCCCAAAAAAGACCCTCTTCCAGTACCAAAGATAGCGAAGAAGTGCATGTATATGCATGGTATGTGCCATGGTCACAACTCCTGGCCTGAGGGTTGATCCGTCCCCTGCGAACCCAAGAAGGTGTTTTGACCATAGCTCAGGTCTGGAACCAGGGCTTAACCCCATTTGGTTGGTTTGTTGGTTGCTTGCCCGCATCACCAGCATGGCTTGGATCTCGGGCTGCCTATTGGTTGCTTTTGGACCAGATATTCCGCGAGAAAGAAGCAAGCATCAGCACACGGGAGAGACATGCCCCGCAACGAGTAGCAGGTCACACCAGTCTTGGTAACGGGAATGTAAAGAGGCTTGGTCCACGCCGATGCGCCATTTGCTCCAATGTGGTCTCAGGTCCCGCTGTTCAACTTAGCAACAAAACTTGCTGGAGCAGGGGAAGAAGCAGATCTGATAGCGAGGATGAGTTGAGCTTCTCTTTAGTCATCATGGATTCACTTCAAACTAAAACTGCTTGACCTTCTAGATTGATTGAATTAACCGGGTTCCTCATTTCAAAATAAAACAAAGGCGAAAAACAGCCTTCCCGGGTTCCGTCACATCGCCTCGCCTTCTCGCGCGCCTCGCGCCAGGGGGGGCTGGGCGCGGTGGTGGACGCCCTGCAGCAAGCCGTGGAGCGCGAGGGCGGGGAGATCCGCACCGGCGTCCGGGTGCAAGAGGCAGGAATTCGCCCGGGTTGCTCGGGCGATGGGGACCCAGAAATTGCGGTGTTGTCTTCGCCAAGCAGGCGTGCGTTGAAGCCTGGCAAAGCAAAGCCACTGTTGTTTGCTTGCGTTGAGTGCAGGGGGACATGTTTGCCTTGCAGCTTCCTTGAAAGCATGCTTTTCATGGGAATTGACCCTGGAGTGGATTCCATAGGCCGTTTTCGGAGGCGTGTGCAAAGGCACAATCTCCGACGTGCGAATGCAGCTGAGTGAGTGAGAGCGTCTCCGAGTCGTCAATGGGGTTGCTTGGTTCAAGAACACCCTGCAGATTGGCTTTTGGCATAGTCTAGATATATCCACTTTAAAAGGGGTATGTAAATCAACCCTTAGAGAGAGGCAGTCCTATGGTTTCCAGTGTGCGGTGTGTCTGCTTTTAAAAAAGCATCCAGGCGCCAGAAAATTGGAGACTTCGAGTTGACTGAGGGAGGGAGCTGTCGCGACAAACACCGGGCGGAGTTGTTTCTGAGCTGTGCCAGGTGTTGGTGGAGGATGGATGCGCTGTGGGCGTGCGGTGCCAGGATTCTCAGTACTGGAACTTGGCGAAGCGCCGTTGTGTGATGAGACTACTTTGTGGGGAAGCCCTTCATGTTGATCCTACTTTTGCCGCTCCCTGAAAAGCAACCAAACAGGGGGTTTTGTTTTAAACTTGATTTCGAAGTTTCCCTGGTGTTTCCGTTTTCGCCTCAATCTATATTGGTGAGTTCGCATTTGACTGGTTCCATACACAGCCCAGAGTCGAAAAACGGCCGGACGCATATTCTAGTGGCTCAAGTCAACACAACTTCAGCATTGTAAGGATAATTGTAAACGCTGCGCGCTGCCCGCCTCGGCCCAGCCGAGCGGGGGGTTGGGCTGGGTCAGACACACCGCGTGTGTGTGGCTGGGGGCTGTGTGTGGCGGGTTGCTTGGGTTGCTGGTTGAGCTGGGCTTGCTGGGGCTAGGCCTGAGGCCAGTCTCAGACACGTCAGACAGGCCTGGCCAGCAGGAGGTCATGCTTTTCGGACCAAAAACTAGTTTTTAGCGTTCTGCCATTTGTATTTGCAACTGGGGCAAAAAGCGGCCCATGTGCTGCTGGTTGAATGGGTAGCCTCTGTGGGTTGCTGGTTGAGCTGGGCTAGGCCTGAGGCCAGTCTCAGACACGTCAGTCAGACAGGCCTGGCCAGCAGGAGGTCATGCTTTTCGGCCAAAAGCGGTCATGGCATCTTTACAGCGCATTTGCGGCCAAAAGCGGAAAAGCGAAGATTCCCTTTGCAAAAGATCTTGGCCCCCTTTGGGGCCGAGGCGAATATACATTGGCCAACAACAGTCGTTAGTACTTATGGGGCTATCATCGGATCATCCGTCCATCCACAGTATCCACTTTCGGTCTTTCTCTCTTTCTGATTTCTCTCGTCCTCACTTGCGGGACATGTGATTTTCTCATCTCACAGCCTTCTATTTGCTTTTGACGGAAGGCTCGCCCAGAAGATCTTTTGCTATGGTGCCTTTGTTCTACGATACCTTGTTGACATTCGTGCGCCCTTCTTGAGTCGGTTCCCTTTGTGCCGCTTAGGATTTGTGTCCCTTAGACTCACCCAAACAGATCTCTGGTGACCATCGCCAGATCGGGCCGCCGTTCGGTTTTGATTCTCGAGGCTCGGGAGCCCTCAAGGGCGAGCTGCGAGCGGGCGAGGCCGCTCGCCAGGTAGGAGCAAAGGAGAGGAGCGCTGGGGAGGCTAGCTGACCATGGCAACTATTGAAAGTAGTTTTGTTGCGGTAGCAAGATACGCACTGTTGTTTAGGGGTTGCCTTCATGCGATGCCCCGGTTGTAATGCGGCATTTGGCTGAAATTGGTGTCGTAGCTTCGCCGGCTAGGCAAACCATTTCAAGACCAATTTGGCATCCTTGAGTTGCATTTGTGTCAAGAGAGACAGAGTAGAATGTATGTTTGATTATGGACGGTGCGATTCGTAATGTTGACCGCAAATCGATCAGCCCTCCAGAAGGGGTGTTTCCCAAAGGGGAAGCCCCCTTTTCATCGGGTTTCGGTTAGGGTCACCTTTTGTAAACAAGCCAGTCAGCTGCTGTTTCTACGGCTCAATGAGGTTTCAGCGATCTGTTCAACAAGTTTTTTTGCCATGCTTCAACAGATCCTCCCCTCCACTCGGCCATGCGCAAGCCGGTGCGCAGGCCGTGGTTTGCAACGCCCCCATCTGGGATGCTGCAAAGCTGCTGCCGGAGACTCCGACGGCCATGTGCGTATGGCTCGTCAAATGAGGGGACCTCAAATATTTGTGCTTCCCTGCTGAAAAGAACCAACATGCACACACCCATAGGCCCGGTCAAACATCGTCAGCCGGGGGGACAATGGGCAATTCCCACCATGAAAAACCGCAAAGCTAGGGCGACCTGACAGATGGTCTCTCAATTGTTTGGGGCACATTGAGGATAACAACATGTTCTGGCCGCCGATCATGTCATGTGACCACTGCCAGGATGCCTTTGCACTGCATCCAAGCCAAGTGACAGGTTTGACGAGTTGCGTGGCTAGTAGTGTTGTTTGTTTGTTTGTTTGTTTGTTTGTTTGTTTGTTTGCTTGCTTGCTTGCTTGTTTGTTTGTTTGTTTGTTTGTTTGTTTGTTTGTTTGTTTCTTTCTTTGTTTGTTTGTTTGTTTGTTTGTTTCCATCTTTCTTTGTTTGTTTGTGCGTTTGTTTTTATGTTTGTTTGTTTGTTTGTTTGTTTGCTTGTTTGTTTGTTTCCATCTTTCTTTGTTTGTTTGTGCGTTTGTTTTTATGTTTGTTTGTTTGTTTGTTTGTTTGTTTGTTTCTTTGTTTCTTTGTTTCCTTGTTTCCTTGTTTGTTTGTTTGTTTGTTTGTTTGTTTGTTTGTTTGTTTGTTTGTTTGTTTGTTTGTGTGTTTGCTTTTATGTTTGCGCGTGTCTGTTTTGTTGGAGCACATCTCCTCCATCCGCCGTTTTGAATGGACGAGGAATTATCTATTGATATTCTTTGATGGCCAATGCTCATAAGTTCATAAGAATGCCATCGGCTCAATGTGAAGGCGAGTGCGATATTTGTTTGTCTGTCTGTGTCTGTCTGTCCGTCTGTCTGTCTGTTTGTTTGTTTGTTTGTTTGTTTGTCTCTCTGTCTGTTTGTTTGACTTGTGGCAACATTCGGCAGGGCCCTCAAGCCATCTCTGAAGTGGACTCCGTGGAATCGGACCAGTGGTGCGATGGGTGCGTATCCGCTGCAACAGGACTCCCCAGAGTTGGACGAGATGAAGCGGGATTGGGAGGCGCTCCGGCGGCGACGTCGTCGCATCGTTTTCCGGTTTGATTGGGGCGGACAGTTCGTTTGCGAGGGGCAGATGTCACAGATCCTGAAGGGCGTGTTGCACGAGGGAAGCATCGCTTGTAACTTCTAAAGCCATGACTGCCTTGGGACTGCAGCCGGACGATTCGTGGACGCACCCAAGCGGAATCAAAGCAAAAGGGTCAACGAGGAAATATACCCATCAGATAAAGGGCTACTCTGCAGGGCGCAACAAATCGGGACCGCTACAAGGGAGCAACACACCAGGCAACACAAGCTGTTCACTGGCAACAATGCAAGTACCCGAAGCACAAGCAATGAGCAAAATGGCAGGTAACAGGGAAGAGCCTGAACATGTTGAACACACGAGGAGCCGGTTCAAGGTCTTTGGTGCAGAGGTCATGTCATCAATGTCAGGATGTATCTAAGCAGGCACCCCTGTCAATGTCTAAGTTCATGTTAGTCACTTGACATACTCAACCCCAGATGTTTGCTTCTGGGGGGGCTAGAAGGATGTTGGCCAGGCATCCAGAGTTATGAGAGTTTGAGTTGAGGGATTGGTCAGGAGACTCCAATGACTCGCTCCTACCTGCACCTTCACCTGGGCTTGGACGCGAGTGGCTGAGTGCCCCAGAGTGCCATCTCACCCAGTCGCTGTGGTAGACTTTTGTCCGTTCTTTGGGGCAGGGGCCCACTCCCTGGATCTCGGTTGCATGAGTCCACCCATGGGGATGATTGGATGGATCCTAGTTTTGATGATCTTAGTTTGGCTTCCATTGCTGGTTTCCAACTTCCCGGGCAACTAACCAACTCGTTGCGGGTTGACCAAGCAGATGAATTTGTCCTGGTGCCTGCATTTGAGCACACGATCGCATGACATTCATGTACAGGAGAAGCCGGTGTTCTTTGCCAACAACGCCGCTTACCGGAGAAGAAGAGACAAAGAGAGCAGAACTCGAACCAAAAAAGATTAAAACAAAACCAATAAAACTTGTTTTTTTGAGAGACGTTTCTCGTCCAACTGAAGCACTTGCCCCGAAATGGGAGCGAGGCCTGGACCTATCGAAGCTGGAGCCGCACTACACCTCCATGGCCTCATGGCAGGACGATGGGGCCCTAGAATAATGCCCCTACCATGCTGGAGAGGATTGGCAAGTTTGATAGACATGCTGACATGCAAATCCGTTGGTTGGTTTGGTTCCTCTGCAGATTTGCTGCTTGATCAGATCCTGTGTCCAACCGGTTGCTCGGATTGGCTCAGTGCTGGTCTCAGGCAGTGTTTTTGCCTCAAAAGGGGCCGGGAGTACACACACACAGCACTAGTATCTTCCGCTGCTGTCATCAACAGCAGTTTTAACAATGGCACTGTCGATGATAATGCGAGCATGAACAGCCAAAAGGATCGAAGAAAGGTCAGTTACATTCTTTGCCACAGTCCATTTGTTCACTCTCATTCGGAGCCGCAAGGCATCCCGCGACATGTTAACATGGCGAGGGAGCCACGGCTTGTTCCATGGTCGGTAGATCCAAACATATTGATGAGACCCAACGCATGTTGTTGATGCCGTCGTTTTGCTGATAGTGCATGTGCACATTCTCTCCACTGGGGCAACAGAATGAAGGCCATTTCGGCTTGTACTTCCGGTTCTTAGACGTGGTGCGCGGTGGGGTTTTAAGAGGCATGACTCCGTTTCTTCCCAATATGCCGTATCTCGACAATGCGTGGCTGAGCTTGACAGTGCCCGTTGTTGGATGTTGACAAGGTCTGATTCAACACATTTGGACATGTAGTTTTGGTTTTATGGTTCGTCCATGTGCTGCCTTGCCAAAAGCTGATGGTTTGATGCAACGCTCCAGATCTTCATTTTTCGGGGCCCCGCTCTTTCCACTCTCGTTTCGCTTTCGGGGTTGCCCCCAATCGTGTCTCAGCTTGTCAGCACGTGAAGAGCGCTGTTGGGTCTTTTTTGGCTTCTCAGTCTCGAGCAGCTCTAGGACGTCACCGCCGAGCAGAACATGGCGCTCCTTCCCTTGCTCTAAGACCGGGGTAGGTTTGGCTCAGGGCAGCCCCGTTCGAGGTTGAAGCTTCCTTCAATTTGATGGAACACAGCAACTTAGGAGGCAACTTTTAGTTATACTGCTGACACTGTGCATTCAGAGGTGTTCACGGAGAGGCATTAGGAAGGTATCGTCACTAGGCTGTGTTCAGTGAAGAGTTTTGCAGCCTGGTCTACAGATCAACTTTGAACAATTTCTTCCCAAGGATCCCTTGCTGTGCAAACGTGCAATGACCATGCCGTTTGCAAGTGGCTCGTGGCAAACTATGGCTGGTGAAACGAGGGTGCACAATCTGCCGTAGCTAGTTGGGCTGCACCGGTGCTTGGAACTTCAACTTGCAGCAGTGGGCTCTCCGAGTCTGCGCAGCCTAGCAATTTCCTCCATTGAGAGTAGCCGGCAGAGATGCAAACACGCGAGACCCAACATGCAGCCAATCCCGCCCACTGCATGATCTCTCGAAGTGCCCTGCATTGGCCGCGCCGCAAAACCCAGGCTCAAGCGGTCTGGCAAAGTGGAAACCAGTCCGCTCCGGGCTATTCGGGTTGCGTCGCTTGCATCATTCTGATGCGCTTTTTAAATGCACCCCGTAGCGGAAACCCGAATTCCACCACTGCAGGTTCCCCCACCCCTTACAGTTAGAGGGTTTGCTCAGAGAGTCGACTTGCTGTACCAGACGGCCGTGAGGCGGGGCGTAGTGGCTGGAACTGGGATGGCGAATGTCGACAGCTTTGAGGGGTTGCAACAGAAAATTCCAAGCTGCCGTCTCAATTGGAGGTGGCCGTTTCAACTGTACAATGTTGGAGCCAACTGTCTCATGTCTTTCCTGTTACCTGAACAATTTCTTCCCCCTTCAAGTTGTTTTTTGTTTATCACTGACGTCGCCGGCGCGAGCCGGTTGCTCAAAATCTCGAATCGTTGCCAGGTCTGAGCCGAGCCCATGTCACAGGCCGTGGTGGTTCGGAACACCTTTTTGGAGGCGCCAGCCTTCGGGTGAGGACTTTGTGAGTCGGTGGAACTGCGGGTTCCTTCCAGGGAGACAGCTTTTTTCTATTTTATGTTTTTTCCTTGTTTATGCAAAAACTTCGACTGTTGCATGCTTTTAATTATTGTTTTTGAATGCCATGAAGGGTCTGATCCACACATGCAGACGAATGACAGCCCGATGCATTGGACTAATCATATTGACACGGAGTGCCACTTGGCACCGGCGTGCTTTTGATTGGCCAGAGAAGCATGCAGGGAGAAGACCAGCAGGGAGCAACAAATGAGACCATCCAGTCCGTTTTGAAGGACAGTGGTGCTCGGGGCTGTGTCCCTTTAACTCTGGTTTGTTGAGCATTTCTGGTGCCATGCCAGGTTTGTTTTTTGGTATAGACGGCTTTCACTTTGGTTTGCTCGTTACTCAGTACTTGCGGCCTATTTTTGGTTAGACGCGTCCCTTCCCGGTTTGTCACAATTTGGGGACCCGAAGCACGCGCAACGACAGGTCGGGGAGCAAGACTCCCGGGCCCTGGACAACTTCCGGCGCCAAGTCTCCGAGCCGGCGGGGACCTCGGCTCGGCGCACTCGCCGCGCGGGGAAGCGGCCCCCAAACAGAAAAATACGGCGAGGGCATGTGCCATGAGCACCAAAAAGCTGGTTCAAAGTACCTAGCGGTTTCCAACACCTTTTGTGGAGCTGCCTCCAATGATACTTCGGTTGGAACCCCGGTTGCTTGACTTGCGGTTGGTAGGGATGGTCGAAACACGTCTTGACAGGGCTTTCAGACGATGTTAGCCATGGCCATGGGCCACACAAGGACTTTTGAAGATGGCACAACCCCAGTCGGCCATTTGAGAGTGTGCGTTGCCGCTTGACTTGCCTGAATTCTTTGAAGGCGAAGATGGTGGGTGGTACGCTCTATCATATTTCGTTGTTTAATTTTTCCTTTTGGCTTGCCTTAGAACCTCAAAAGACGACTCGTACATTGTGAAGTGCCACATTGGCCCCAGCCATGATTTGCGCAAGTATACCATTTCGAGTTGCACACGTGTGGACAGTGTTGCATTGTTGGGCACGTCGTCTCTCATTAGAGCGGACGTCATCCTTTGGTGCATACCTGCAGAGATTGCCCTAGGAGTAGAGTTCTCGTGTGCAGAAGCCTACAACAGCCTGCACTGGGAGCTGCCATGACACCTGAAGGGAGGACAGGACGACTCCTGCCATTGACAGAGATGCGCCAGCGATAGGGAAGCCAGACACAGAGGTGCGCCTGGCACGGCAAATTTCGTTAGGTCAAGATCTTCTCGAGCCAGCAGATCAGTGCTGGCGAGGCTGGGGTGAGGCTGAATCTGAGACTTTGGCCTGATGTTCCATGGGAGCTTGTGGATAGCTGGACACCCATGCTGGTCGTTTGGATGGCTCCCAGTTGGTGTTGTGATGCCTTTGTAGTTTCTTCTTGCGCAGGGAAACAGTTCACAAAATCGAGGTCCACTGAACACAAGACACATGTTTGCTTTCCCCTCAGACAATCCGCAGGAAATGAGTGGGGACTTGCTGTTTGAGCAATAGCATGAGCAGGATTTTACAATGACTCAATCAAGTAATCTCTTGAAGAGTTGCCTTTTGGGCAAGGTTTCCAACTTGTTGGAAGATGCAACTAACACTTGGGAAGCCGGCCGTGAGGTGCTTCGTGGGTTGTTGAGGATTGCGGTCCAGTCTGGATCATGAGCCAGCCAGTTAAACATGCAGACATGTTTGGGGGTGTCTCCTTTCAGCGCTTGCTGAGATGACTAAGCCTCTTCTAAGATGACTCCAGTAAGACGGCACTGCTCACCCATTGCTTCAATACGGATACCAGTTGCATCCAAAGGCGCCAAAGGCAGCAACAAAACCGAGCGCTTTGAGAATGTGGTGTCATGTTTCCTCAGCGTGCGATCACGCAACAGCTAACAAACTAGCAGCGGTGGGCGTTCCAGCTCTGCACCAGGAGGCAGAGTCACATTTGCACATAGAGGTATACGCATATGTATATATGTACAGAAATATAGGTTCGAGACCATTTCGGCCGCAAACAACTTGTTCTGGCCTGTTTCGGCCGCGAACAGCTCCCCCGGCCTGTTTCGGCCGCGAACACTTTGGAACTTTGGAACGCTCAAAAGCTCCGAATGTTCGACGCCTTTGTTACGTTCCAATATATATATATACCTATACATATATCTATATATGTACAATGTACATGCCCGAAAATAGTGGGCGCCAAGAATGGTTGCTATCGTTGTGTTTGTATTTTGAATCACCATGCAACAAGGGTGCCCTGGTTGTGGCCTGCTTTTGGTAACGCCCAAGCTCCAGCCGCGCTGAGTTGTCAGTTTTGTCATATCCATCGCAGGTCTCGCCAAAGGAAATGGCCATGAAATCCTAGTGGGGAACCACCGCAAAAAGTGGCTGGTGGACATGAATCCCCACCCAAAGGGTCCAGCACCCCCGGTAAAAAAGTCATACCGGAATGAGGGCATCATCCCAGCCATGGATGCAACTGCAAGCCGCGTGGCCAGGACTCCGACGAGGATTTCCCGGTGCAGAAGGCGCATGTGCGAGACTACGGGGGACCGGGACCGGACCGGGACCCAGAAAATGGTGGGCTTTCCCTCACCAACCTGAATGCAGGGGTTCCGTTTCACTTGTTGGAATCTGGAAAAGTGGCGGTTTCCAATGGAAACCTGTAATTTGGTCAACTTTTGGAGGGATGACTGGAAAAACAGGTCCTGAACAGGATACTCTCCAAAAAGCCTTTTGCTCCCATTTTTTTCTGCCAGGTCGACAGGTAGGATAGCTGCGAATCTGCGCTCGGCTCGGGCTTTGCCTCAGGTTGCTCTTTGCGCCATGTTCGATGCCGCAGCAGAAACGGTTCAAAACTGTGACCGTTGACTGGACCTGTGGAAAAGGACGTGCTGTGTTCCAACCAGCCCAAGGCACACAACACTTGAGAGAAATAGCTCCACTCAACTCAGTTTATCACTTCCAGGCCTTTGAGAACTTTTGGGTGTTTGGGATCCGCCGGTCTATGCCTCTCGAAGTCTGGATCGAGTGCATCTGCCCGGAGACCCAATTCGGAGAAGATCTCGCACCTTGGCTGAGCCGCGCTTTTGACAGCTTTTGGGGAAAACGACCTGGCCTCCCTGAAAGTGGGGGATCGTTTTGTAAGTGGGTCTCCGTTTATGTTTTCAAGACACGGGGGTTAGAAGGTTCAATTGTTTGAGAGTCTTCTCAACCGGATGCGATATTTGGCTGGGAAGAGCTACAGAGACTGGACTCCAACAGAGATAGAGAGAGAGAGAGAGACTCATGAGACGCACGTTTTGGCCGTGGCTCGACTGTCCGGAACCGTCGCAAGCTGCAGGTGATTGTTGGGAACCATCCAGCGTCTTGGCTGAAGGCAGGACTTACCATCGCCCATTTGTAAAAGAGTTTGGACATGACTGGGCACTGACCATGGCTTGCATGGATTGCCCCTGACCTGGAAGCTGATACATGGCGATGATGGCCGATCATGTCTCCGTTCGAAGGTATCAGTGAAAAGAGGAAGACGCTACACATGCAGTTGCCCACGACTGATCTCCATTCGGGTGATAAGCTTGGCCAAGAGCAGATTTGTTAAGCTTTCCTGGGCAAGGCTGGGATACCCCCCTCTTGTATTGACACTTTCTGTTTGGTTGGGTCTTGGGACTTTGACTTTTGCTTGAAACAGGAGGATTTTCCATTGGACCAACAAATCAAACTATTGCAGAGGGGGTCGACAGCAACCAAGCAATCCTCCATGATTTAACCGGGGTTCTACTTCCAGCTGAGGTTCTTGGGAACTGGTGCCTTCAGAGGGCCGTTCAGCTCAGCATCTTGGCAGGGAGGATCGGCTTGGGTCGTTTTTTGTGAGAGGGTGTGCCGGCTACTCGTCTAGCCTTTGATAAATAGTAAGGAGGCAA